AACCATTTCTGGGCCAAAATTATCAGCTGGGCAGCTTTACTTAATGAGTGAGCTATGGTTTCATTAGTAAAACTTTTTAGTGATCTTGGGCAAAATTAGTTAATTCCGGCCCTGCCGATCATGATTCCGATGTATTCCGACCCAGAATTGGTGATCCCCCTGTATGAGTTTGACAGACCCACTTTAATTTAATCGACAACCATTCGATGAATTTTATTTGGCGATTGTCTAATTTATGTAGTGACATACATCATGTGCATGCAATTCTATTGGTCGGAGAATGTTGTGTTACTGAAATTTTTGGGTAGTTTCTATATCTTTATCACGTGAATTGTATCTTTTTACGTTTTTTTTTTAACGTTAAAGGATACTGAAAGTCGCATATTCGGCAACTTTCTTTAACTTTAAAATCATGACCAGCTTTTTAAGCTATAAGACTTTTATTGAAGAAGGGGATCTTGTTATTGCGTACATGGTAAGATTTTCTTTAAAATATACTTTTTTATATGGTTCTAAATATATTTCCATTGGATATTCAAGTCTCGCGAGAACATGACACCGCTAATTATGGATTCTAAATTGACATACAACAATAAATTTGGCACTTTTCGGCATTCAGACATGATTGGAAAGGAATATGGAACTAAGGTTATTAAGATACATATGTGTATATCTTTGATGATTTAATAGTCACATCTTTCAAACGATAAGATAGTATTAAGTATAAGATCATTTTAGATGCCTTCCCATAACGGTAGAGGATTTATGTACTTGTTGCATCCAACACCAGAATTATGGACTCTGGTTGTTCCTCATAGAACACAAATCTTATATATGGCGGACATTTCTTTTATAACGACATATCTTGATCTAAAACCTGGTTCAATAATATTGGAATCTGGTAGTTAATTAAAAAAAATTTTATTGGGGATTTTATTTGAAATTTTATTAGATTTATTTAATAATCATTTTATATTATAGGAACTGGAAGTGGATCCTTCTCTCATTCTCTAGCTAGAACTATTGCACCAAATGGTCATTTATATACGTTTGAATATCATGAAGAACGTGCAAAAGCTGCAAGGTATTTTAATATCTTAACACTTTCTAAAATTTAGATAAATAATTAAAAATATATGACTATTTCATTTGTTGGTATTGATATGCAGGATTTGAAGAACAAGAGGCAAATCATTCAAATATATGTTTAACTCATTTGTTAATATTGTGTTAATATTGACAGACAAGACTTTGAAAAACATGGTCTCTCTGATATCATCACTATTGAATGTAGAGACGCTTATAAAGATGGTTTTGGAATAACTGATTTGGTACATGCCGGTATGTTTACAATATATATATATATATATTTTTTTTTTTGTTGGTTTGATGACTTTAGATAACTTATTTCATTACTTAATTATAGTGTTTTTGGACTTGCCCGCACCATGGGACGCAATCGCTTCAGCTAAAGCCGCTTTTAAGGTACTATTTCTTTCTGCCAATTAAGATGATTAAGTTGATTCGTAACATATATATATATACATATTCTTTGCAGCAAAATCGAATAGGTAAAATTTGTTGTTTTAGTCCATGCATTGAACAAGTACAACGGGCATGCGTTTCGTTGAACAAGCATGGGTTTGTCGGTAATTATTTGGAATTATTCTTTACATTTGTATATTTTACTACTTAATCATTAAACAAACGTTCATCAATCTTTGATTAACAGAAATTAAAATGTTTGAATGCCTTATTCGTAATCAAGAAGTGCATACAATCCCCATATACACTGTGAAAGATGCTGTATCAAAAATCAAAGTTCAACAAGACAAAAAACGTAAGCGTAACGAAGAAGAATCATCTGATTCGAAAGCAGCTAAGTCCGCTAAAATTAAACAAGATCCACCGAATTTGTATGTATCCAAAACTCCAACTGAAGCAAAAGGTCATACCAGTTATTTGACCTTTGCAACGTTTTTGCCAGTTTTAGATGATGAGGTTGATAGAGTGAATTAATTAGATTAATGATATGTTATTCCTAAATTGTACAAGAGAAAATATGTAACATGCAACAGGTCGCATACATATTCATTTATCCGAGTTAATTTAGAGGATACTATTAGTATTGCACAAATAAAATTATAAACATAAAGAAACAGTTTTTATACTCTTTTTTTTTTTCTGATTATACGTCTTTTATTTGATGTATGTGTTCAAACATATATATATATAAATAAATCATGTTCAAATGTATTGCTAACAAAAATCTACAAGATCTTTATCAACTCGGAACAAAGGTTAAACCAAACACATTAGTATCTTAAAAGAAAACTAAAGGGTGTTAAAAAAGGTTTAAAATAACAAAAAAAAAAAAAAAAGGAAGGATTGACTTTGTACATTCTAACAAAAAATGGCCTTAATAAGAAAGAATATTTATAAATATTCAAAAAAATGGAAAAAAATTATTTTTTACAAGAAAAAAATTTAATCATATCCGGTAAAGAACAAAAAAAAATCCGTTTATTACTTGATTTGACTAAAAATATGAAAAGAATACAAAACCAAAATCAAAAACTACACTCCATATAACATGCCCAAAGATTATCTTTATTCGAATTTTCCCCCAAGACCCTAAGAGAAATTAAACATTTTTATTAATAAAAAATATATTTAAGTAGTTTACAAAATTGTGTTAAAAAAAACAATGTTATCGTTCATAAAAATTACCATCAAAAGATAGATCGGTTTTTTTTTTAAAAAAAAAAAAACAAAAAAAAAAAGAAACAATCAAGAGTTCTGATCCTTTTCAATGTCCTTACTATTGATCATCACGAAACAACAGCTCACTCATATTTGGAATTGCCATAGGGGTGATCGGTGGCGATATTCTTGTTGGAGAAAATATACTTTCTGATGCAGATCGATATAAGCTAGAAGTGAATCCATTTAGACTATTACGACTATAATTACTATAACCGCTAATAACATTTGAATGGCGGCGACCTATTATTCGTGGTGTTGTTTCAGGTAATAAGAAATTTGATTGGGAACCGAAATTTTCAATTGTATGAGTTAGGGAACTTGAAGAAATGATCGAGGGAGTCATTGGAGGATTTGTTATTTTTTTTGGAGATAACGGTGAGAAATCAACAGAATACAGTGATCGAGTCTTTTCAGATGAACCTAATGATGAATTACTATCCCTTGGCGATAGATGTGAAGGCTTTGAAGGACGTCTTTGACCAGTTGGTGATGGTTCGCTCGATGGAGTTGTAGGTGATACTGTACTCGTGGGCGATAACGATGACGTCGGTGATAAGGCAGTTGGAGAATTAGGTGTTACAGAAGCCGTGATAACATGAAACCTTCCGGTAAAACCTTTCACAGTAGACTGAGTAGTCTGTGCGGTAAGTGAACTTTCAGAAATAACAGTAGGAGTCTTTGGAATATTATCATATACAGATATAGGGCTAATAGTGTTCCTTGGGATACTATTACTACGTTTGTGAGTTTTTAATAAAAGATCACTCTCAATACTAGAACTACGTGAATGTGATCTAGTTTTTGTATTTTCTGATTTAGTCTTGATCGTAGTATCGGATAAAGGATTATGAACATCATTGGTTTTTCCTAGTTTCAAAGTCTTTTCGAAATCAACTAGTTGATACACAAGGCTCATATTTGGACATATATAAGGACTCCTATTTTTAACGAACTCGTAAGCCTGATTAAGTGTCATCCGATTTGCATTCATTACATAGCCAATGATTAAAGACGCAGATCTAGAAACACCGCACTGACAATGGACAAGAATATTTCTACCAGCCGACCGAGCCTCATCGATAAAATCGAAAGCTGAAGCAAAATCAGAAATAAGGTTTTCTTGATTATGCGTCCAAAAGAACTTTTTATATTTTAAAGGACCAAAATCATCTGTCGCGGGAACTGTAGATAGAGTAGGTATTGAATTTGAACGAGAAGGCATTGAAGATCGTTTAAGAGAATTTGAACGATAAACACCGAGTGGAGAGGGAATAACCATTGGAGAATCCAATGAAGGAGTCTGTATAGCAGAATGAAAACTATCATTTGAACAATCAGAACCAGGAGAATAAGGATAATCTTCGAAATAAGGATTATCAACTTCCTTAGCAACATTCAAAATGAACTCAATGCCAAGTCTATTAAGCATTGATCTATTCGCGGCATTAATTTCAGAACCAAGATATAAATGCTGCATTATTTGTATTGGTTCATCTTTGTAGGGTAAATCTTCACCGATTGAATTTTCAGTCTTAGACATTAGTATTCTAGGATCTACAATAGGGCCTTTGGTTTGATAAACGCATATAGGGGTTGATGGACGTCTATTTTGAGCATGGGATATAATATTTGGCGGTAATTGAGGAGAATTAGGAGCGGATATAGAAGAACGAACAGGTGGAACCACCACCTGTAAATTTTTCCTATTACGACCTTTGGCAGAAGGAGGACTTGGTAAAGGACTTAATAAAGGACTCTTTTCACCATAATCAGTCGCAACAAGATTGTTATTATTTGAGATGGACATAAAACCGACGTTATCAGTGGGATCATTATCTTCATTATCTTGCATTGTTGTTGCAATTGTTTTTGATAATTTCATATTAAGAGCGGCACCGTCGACAGAAATATTAATGCTATGAGCCATTGACATTTTTTTATGTAAAGGTGCCTGAGGAACTTTGAACTGATCAGTTTCTTCCACTAAAGACGTTGGCCTAGAACCGAACGGATATGATCTTTTTACTGCACTGGTCATGTAACCAAAAAAAAAAAACAATAGAAAGCACTTGTTTGTGCAGAGTAATTACAAAAGTTCAAGAATGTCCAGAATTCTTAACCTTTTTTTTTTTTTTTTTTTTATAACAACAGCTATTTATATTGACAAAACGGACGCTCCAAAATCCAGTATTTTTTCCTTTTTGTACAAGCTTTGACAATTTAGTGAAAATTGAAAAAAGTGGACGTATTTTATAATATTTTAGAGGAGCTTTGAACAGGCCAGCTGTTGTAATTTTTTTTTTTTTCCTAAAGTTACGAAGGGTAAGATGAGTAACGCCTGGGAGGGGTGTTACTTCGCCTGAGCCAAGCAGGTTCAAAAGTGGTTGTCCTTCAAAGGTAATAGAGGAAAAAAAAAAAAAGGAAAAAAAAAAAGAGTGACTATTTAAGTCACACACTAGACCAAGGAAGGGTGTAATTGACCGAGTATTCGAAAAAGATCTAGCTAGTTGCCCTTTAGCTGAAGGGCAACGGAAATATATATGAAATCTTAAATTGATGATATTCCAAAAACCATATAAATATGTATGCGTAATGGATTAGATGGAAAAGATGTGGTATATATTTTTAGCAGATACGTGCGATAGTCAGGTGGCTCAATAATGGGATATCCAAAAGAAAAAGGGGGTTAAGAGGAATGAATGAATGATTCGATATCTTCCTGCTACCTAACAAGTTGCGTGAAGCACAACAGGCCAAAAGTGGTTGTTATGTGATTAAAAAAAATTCCGACCCTAGCTCCAAATCCAAAGCATTAAAAAAGGAATGGAAGATGGATATAAATTCAGGTATCGGAGAGGGGAAAGAAAGGAAGATAAATGGGCAGAAAGCAAGGAAAAAAAAAAAGAAAAAAAAAAAAAAAAAAAAAAAAGCTTAGTATAAAAATATATATATAATAACAGTGTAAATTAGGTCGGGTCACAACGAACACAACAGAAAAGCAAATAATGTACTGACACATTACTTACCTCTAAATATACAATGAATATTTATTATTACAAATTTAATGATAGCATGTATTGAGTCTTTCACTTTTTCGTTTAAACCATGAAATGGAAAAGAAGAAAATCCTTTTAAAAAATTGTTCTTTAAGGGTTTGATTAATACGTTTCAGAATTTAATAAGAAATCCTTCTAATGCCGGTAGGAATTATAATCTATTACAAACTTTTTTTTTTTTTTTTACATGCATTAATTTAATTACTGCGAATCATAATCACAAATTGCGGATCCGAACCAAGTGTAGACCCTTATATCAGTTCCCAGATATGCCTTGACCAATCTGAACGTAGTTTCTATTTAATTTTATTAATAAGAATCTCATAACAAGAGAATCATTGCATAAATACATATTATCAAAGGGTTTAAGTATATTTATATCTTATGTGTTTCTATAAAAAGATCATGCTGTGACATGCACCATAGTTGATCTAGATTCTCTGTCCTTGTACATGTTCATATTACATTGTTTAATAATTATTATCGGTTTATGCTGATGATATACCTGCCTTGTTAGAGCCCCATTAGTTCTCTTTCTCAAATAACATTTCTTTATTTGGCTTAAAATTTCTTTTGATACAAACAATCAATCGTGCAAATAAGCTACGCACAGCATCTCCAGATTAAGAACAAACATATATGGCTGATTATCAAGAAACATCTATATTTAGCATAAAACTAAATTAGTTACGTGCTTAATTATTCTGATGAATTCCCTTTCCAAATTTAAACATTTAGTACCAATTGAATTCCATAGGGAAAAATCAACAATTACTCCGTTTTAAAATCCTTACTTTATATGCTATAAATGCTCTTTCCGTGATCATACATTACTACCCTTTTTGGGTTTCTTTATGTAACATTTATTAATCTTATTAATCTTATTAAGCAAATTTCGACACAGAATCTACTCTCCTGATTTACATTTTCCTTTGCTTACAATCTTCTCATACTCTCATACTAACAGTTTTACTTTTTCTTATAACAATTTGCGCTAAAAAACGTCAATTCATTATGTTTATCATGCGTCACCCGTATTACAAATAGTTAATAATTATTGTGTAAATTTGTAATTCTCTCACTATTAACCGTTTTTTTTATTTATTTTGTATTTATTTTTTATTTTTTTTTATTTTTTATTACAATTAATTTAATGTTCATGAATTGTATTCCTAATTGCATTCATCAAATTGCATTAACTAAGCGCATTCACTAACCGCATTCACTCATTGCATTCGCTCATTGCATCACTAATCGTATTAACTAATTACGTTCACTAATTACACGTCTGATTTGGAATAATGATATTTATTATTAATACGGATAAAGTTATTTGTTTGTTCTGTCGCATTAAAATCTGTTATCTAAAAAAATTGAAAGCTATGGGGAACCATGAAAGTTATTAAAATTATTATTTTACCATATTAAAGTTTGTGACCCGTGCTTTGCCATTTCTTGGTTAGAATATGCGTAAAATAAATTAATATGTTAATATAAGCATTTTATTTTTATATTCGGAACATTATCGTTAATATTACCCATAATTCTCCATCCGGCTGTTATGAGGTCGGTTAATTTATCTTATTACATATAAGTATGTGGATTGATCGATTTAATCTCGTCTGTATATTATTTCTTTGGTCATTCGATCATGAAATACTATTACTTCCTGTGTATTAAACGATACAACTATCACCATATACCACTATCAAGTACTTTGGCTGTTGCCAACCTAATAAATAATAGATTGCTGTTTAAAATTGTTTTATTAGTAAAAGTATATGCAATCAAATTTCATTGTATTTGCTTATCTCTACATTTCTAGTATCCAACATCCTTGAATCGCTTACAAAATCTTGCTGAATCTGCATGATTCAATATTCATTAAATGTTGTTATTTATGACTTACCGCTTCTGAACATCATATTTTTAAAGTTTCCATTATCTTCTTTCAGATATGCCTCCATTATCTCTGGTATAATAAACTTTTCATAAACTTTTCAATATTAAATCCTGGCTCTATCATTTTTAATTGTGCAATCGCCTGTACCGTTGAAAAAGTAGGTAATATCAAGGCCGTAATAGATTAATCATGACCTAATAATGATATGTAATAATATATGTAGTTATACATCATATAATATGTATATGTACATCATATAATATGTATATGTTCATATATCTAATAAAGATCACCAGCTTTCCTGCCAAGTTAAAAAAAAAACTTGTTAGTTATGTTAATAATTAAATTTCTAATCTTGTTATTATATAAAAATACTTTAATAAATTCAAAATGATTTTTTTTATAATTTTTAATATTGCATAAAAATTTTAAAAATTTTAATATTATTAAATTACAGTACTGATATTCAATGTCATTATAATTTAAAATATAATGTAATGTAAAAATTAGATGTAATATAAATTTTTTGTTTATTTTTTTAAAAAAATGATAACTCAAAAATTCATCTATAAAATGATTTTTGAAACTTTAATATTAATCAAAATTTAATTTGTTTTAATAAAAATTATTTTGATCTGCATGTTATACGGATTACTTTAAAAAAGTTGGATTAATAATCATTACTATATCACTTGCACTAAATATAATTAGACTTGCATTGTACACCCCAATAACCTATATATCTCTACCCCCCAAAAAAAATAAAATATAAAACTCGAAAAAGAAACTTGCTTAAAATTGAAATATTGCTTACTATGAATTAAGCAACGTAGTTAAATAAATTACCGGTAAGATCATCGGAAAGAATATGTCTAGTGACTGGAATATATAGTTATTTGATTTTTACAATATACCTAATTTTTTATAACATATATATAATTAAAAATATATAATATATATTTGAATATTGAATATAAATAAAACACCTAAATTAAAAGACCGTCTAAAGTTTGGTGGTTTTTAAATCACAGGCCATGTGTTTGAGATACCGTACAACAGACATTAATAATTGAGAATCACCAACAGTATACAAACAATATCTCTTAAAAAAAACCAAGACATCTGCAAGTAGATTAAAGTATCAAATATCTGATTATACAAAATAAAGAAACCAGCTTAATGTTCTTCAAACATCTTTTTGATTAATTCTGTTGAGTAAGATTTTGGTCTTTCAATAGGAAAACCTCTGTAATATAAGTCAAATCATATGTTAATGTACGAAAAACGAATAAATTAATTATAGAGAATACATACAAAGCTCTATCCCAAATTAATTGACTTAAAACGCCTAAAGATCTTGAGACACCGAAAAGTACAGTATAATAATTTTGCTCAACTAGCCCGAAATATTGTAATAATATACCAGAATGAGCATCGACATTCGGCCAAGGATTTTTCGTTTTACCGTGTTCAAGTAACACACCAGGTACAATGTTGTATAGTTGTGATACGAGCTTGAAAAGAGGATCATTTGGAAGATGTTTTAACGCGAACTCACGTTGTGCTGCATACCTTGGATCCTAAATATAGATAGGTTACAATCATACTAATCGATATAATAACTTAGGAATATATTAAACTCACCGTTTTACGGAGAACAGCATGTCCATAACCTGGGACTACTTTTCCTGATTTCAAAGTATTCCAAACATATTCTTTAACAGTTTCGTCAGAAGGTGATTCACCAATGGCATCTTTCATTTGAAAAATCCAACGAACTACTTCTTGATTTGCAAGACTATTTAAAGTCCAATCTTTAGCATACAAGCATTCGTAAAAACTGCATATATATATATATATATCATAAGCACATCCTTTGGATAACAAACTTACCCATGTAATGGTCCAGCCAGACCATTCAGAGACGCCGAAAATGCAAGAAATGGATCGGAAAGTGCGCTTCCTACTAATCTCTGTAATAAATAAATGTTGTGACTAAATGTTTATTTTGAAATGTAAAATTAAGTTAATTACCGTTGTATGTGCAGATACATTTCCACCCTCATGGTCAGAATGAATTGTAAGATAAAGCCTCAATAATTCTACAAAGTCCTTATTATCGGCATACCCTAAAATTTTTGCAAAATTATACGAATAATCCTTGTCTGGCTCAATTGGTGGCACTTTTCCATCTTTATAAACATTTCTATAAATTCTTCCTGCAACATTTGGCAGCTTAGAAATCAAGTCCATTGCATCCTCGTACATGTATAGCCAGTATTCACTCTTATTAACACCGGTCTGATAGGCTTTTGCAAAATTCGAATCATGCTGTAGAGCTGTAACAGCCAATGAGAATTGAGACATTGGGTGTAGAGTATTTGGACATCTGTCAATAAGGTCTTCAACAAATGAAGGAATCGCCGAACGAGCAGCCAATTCAGCTGAAAGTGCGCGAACTTGCTCCTTTGAAGGAACTTCACCAGTTGCTAAAAGCCATAAAAGACCTTCAGGCAGTGGTTCTTCGCCACCGTCTGCCTTTGGAAGTATTTCTCGGCATTCGTTGATGGTATAACCCCGGAATTCAATGCCTTCATCCGGGTCTAACACAGAACCTTCCCATATTAAGCCCTTGATACCCCTCATACCCCCATAAGCCATGTCGACTGTAACATTTCCCAAGCTTTTAGCACCATGTTCTTTTTTGACACGCTTTATTTCGTCTTGCTTTTCAGGAATTAATTCTTGCAGACGTTCTTTAAGGGTCTATTGAATATAAAAGGATCATGTATTGGCAATTCATAAACCGCGATTTTAGGATTTATCAAATTATTATAAGAACATAGAATATGTTTACTTTCAACTACTTTAATAAGCTTACTTTTGGTTTCGAAACGTGCAGTAATCGAGAAGTACCAGTAAAAGAAATCGGTGAAACTTGTTTTAATGCAGGTTTATATATAACAGCCTATGCAAAGGTTAAGATAATGATAAAGATAAAAGGATAAAAAAAAAAACTGTTAAACCGTGTTTTCAACTTCCGATGATATCTGTTATACCTACAATAATAAAAAGATTCTTTATAAGGTTCAAACCTTTGATATGCCAAAAGAAACACGAGAAGAAACACGAAATAAAAACATGATTTCAGAATTTTTGAGATTTTTTTTTGTAGATGAGATCACTTATCGTATATATATACGTATAGATAAATTTATTTACGGAAATGTCCGAATCATTGTTGCAAATAGATGATTCTGATATAGTTGTACGCAGTGAAAAAAATGCACATATATATGTAAATTTTTTTTGTGCGTAAAAAAAAATTTTATCACCAATCATATGTAAAAATCAAAATTGAGTTCTTTCAAGATTCGAATTATCTTGAGACTGGGCTATCGCTATATTTTTCAATTATAAATGGAAATAATCGGTACATCAATGTTTTATACGTACGTGATTGATACTCAAATAACGATAAGAAAACGCTCATCTTTGCTCATATATGAATTGTGTTACATTACATACAAACTGTTAATGAAACTTTACGACCACCTTGATATCTCGCTCCTCTACCTACCATATAATTTAATCAGGTATAATCATATTCACTGTCGACTTTTAGTATGACGGTATTTTATACGTAGTGTTGGGATCCATCTGGTTAAACATCTGGATATTCGTGGATGGTACAAATATTCGGAGGATTCGGATAATAAAAAATTTTCCGGATGGTCATCCGGATGATTATATAGAGATCTGTTTACTGCAATGAGAATAAATTTATTGGCCAACGCATCTAATATATTTACAAATATTCGGATTGTTATTAACGGATATCCGGTGGAAACGGATATCCTATTCGGATAGTTATTTTTGAGTGCGGATAATCAACATTTTAAAAAAGTAATAATTTAATATGTTTAATGAGATTTTATTCTCTTTATTTTAAGTTAAGAAACTTTATACATATTTTGATTTTTCATTTGTTTGTTAGAAAATTTAGTTAGATTTTGTTTGCTTATATTGAATTTGTATACTAGTTTACTAATTTTTTTTTTATTACTTGGACAGTCATGTTACTAAATCTTTATTTATTAGACTGAACAGATACTATTTAAATTTTAGTTATAACATTTTGCAAACATATGCTTATCTTTATGGGTTCTATAGATAATCTGCTAATAGTGGTCATACAATAACAAAACAATATGATATTTAAGAATTTAATTTTATAATAGAATATTATTAATTTGATAATATTTTTTTGTTAAAAAACAAAAAAAAAATAAATAAAGAAATTAAAAACTAAAAAAAAATAATAAAAAATACAAATAAAAAATAAAAAAATATATATATTATAAAAATAGTAATTCTAGTATAGTAATTGGGTTATTATTCTTCAAATGGCAGATCTAATGTTCAAATCTTACTTATAATGAAATTTGAAAATTAATTTGTATTATAATAACTGTTTTTTGTTGATTCATTGTTTCATATAGTTGTAATTCAGATATATCAAATTGGATCTTATCTATTATTAAAAGCTTAAAGCATCTATACAAAGTGTAATATTATATATATAAAGAGAAATATTAATAACTGATATTGCATAAGATTTTGGTACAAATCTATAATAAAATCATCAAATATAAAAAACTAAGAAACTAAGAAACTAGAAACCTAGTTAGAAATTTTTAATATATAATATAGATTTTTAATAATATTATTAAACTAATTAAAGTTTACAAATTATCTTTAAAAAAATAGATTAAATAAACTAAATACAAAATATATATAACAGAGTATATAATCAACTAAACTATTAGATTTATCATTTTCTATACTTTCTAACATTATTATATACAACTTTAACATTTTAGAAATTTTCTAAGCAAACAGTTGCACTTATAAGCTTTAAGATATATACTTATTTAACTCTATATATAATAACTTTACTTTTTATACTAATAGTTCTGTTATTAATATTGAATTAGAATAATGTTCTATAAATATTAGATAGGTTCAAATTAATAAATACAATTAAACTATTTATAAATTCTTAACTTAAATTTATTTATAGTTATTATTCTATAAAGTTAAATTATTCTCAATTCTATCTGCATTATCTACTATACCTTACAACTTATCTATTAATATTTACACAAACTTACAATCTATTATTTCAAAATTTTATACACTATTGAACTAATTACAAAACTCTAATAAGTTATTAAATTTAGTATATAACTTTTATAGCATATCTTACTTAATATTATAAAATCTTTTAATCTTTAAATCATTTTTTATAAAGTGTAAGTCTATACTGATAATTTTTTTAACAATCTTACAGACTCTTTAGTAAAACAGTACAGTCAAACCTCTCTATAATCACACCTTTGGTTTAGGAAATTTGGTGCTTATAGAGAGTTTGTGCCTATATAGAGATTAAATTTTATAAGTATTATATAAATTGGTTTTAAAATTTTATGTAATTGTAATTAAATGTGACTATATAGGAGGTAACTATAGAGAGATCAGACTGTATATATTTTTTTAATCTCTTATCTTTAACTATACTAATATCTATAATCTCTATTATATTTTATAATAAGAACAAAACTTTGTTAAATTACTAACTAGATATTTTATTAAGAATATATGCAAAATATATATATTAATAATATGATTTTGAAAGGAGTGTGGCAACCTAGTAAAGTGGATAGGTTGTCAACCCTCAAGTAGCAAGTCTAAGTTTCAATTCCTACAGATGACAAATTTTGGAAATTATACCTGTGTTATGGTAACTGTCTCTTGCCAATCAGTTGGGTTTTGGGCATCTGTAATCTTAGATACACTAAGTCAGGTCCTATCTGACATTGGGAGCTCAGGACATCTATGTGAAGTGTAACATTATACAGTATATATACATAAAGGAATGTAAAACTGATGTCGTATAAGGCTTCAAGCAAACTTACGATAAGACCACCAGGTGTAGAAGGCTAAGAAACTGAAGAGATGGAAACTTACTTGGAAATCCCAAGTAAAGAGGTAGCACAAACTTTCGATAGTTCCATTGGACTGATAGAAGCCCATGAAACACCTTTATAGAAACTGTCAGATAAACCGGATAACAAAGACGTGTAGAGGAGCACATAACCAACCAGGCCACCGGAATCGTTAAAGGAAAAGGATACATAAGTATACTATACCGGGCTATCTGGATTGGGAGTATGGGGAGTCAGTTAGTTCTAAGTTGTGGCTAGTAGGAAATGATAGAGAAGAAGTCAGAAAGATAGGTACCAGGGTTTGGGTAAGCTTTACAAGGGTAATAGTGATTTAAGAGGCAACACTGACTGCAAGTATTGGCCTCAGCTATAGCATCAAACCAGGTTAGTAATAAAAGGGAATATGGCTTGCTCTGGTAGGTTTACCTCGAGGATAAAAATAGTTTAAAGATTATAGTCCTATGGTCGATTGCGAATAGATCTGGGTCTGTGATCTGGTGAAATTAATACTAGGATTAGATCAGAGGGTTTAAATAGAACATCTAAGCAGAAGTGTTAGGTACAGCAACTGGTAGGGAACCCTCAAGCGGACTCCTTAAATAGGTAATATAGAAAAGTTATACATGTAGCCAGTTGTACACTTATCTAATAGTTCATTATAGATACGTCTATAGAAAACATGTACCTACTATAAGTATTAATAAAAAGCTAGACCAAAGAGGTCACCTTAATACTGAAAAAAAAAAAATAAATATTTGTATAAATATTTACTAAATATCTATATAAATATTAAATATTATTTTCAAATTTTTTTTTTTTTTATTATATAATATCAAGTAGGAAAAATATTAATACATGAGTATATCAATTGAATATAAATGTATAAGTAAGAATTATTTCTAAGCTATACTATTGTTGCTATATACTAATGACATCTAGTGTGATATTATTCTTTAGTTATCTGTTATTAGTTAAATTAATTATTGTAATTATTAACTACAAAAAGAGGTAAAAGGAACTCTTGAGGTTGTTAAAATTAATAAAAGCAATTAAGTTTTGAGAATGAGTTTTAGAAATAAAAAATTCTATATTAGTATTAAATATGAAACTATTGTTAGTAGAATTGGAAGATTGTAGAATAGGTAATCAGATGTTGTTTTTCTTTTTAGTTAAAGCAGTAATTCCTCATACTAATTTCTATTCATGTTGTTTAGGATTTCAAGTTTGCAAATAGTAGAGTTGAACTAGTTAAGTAGAGAGTTGGATAGATAAATAAGAAAATTGTTTGTTAATTTTTTTAGAGTAGGTTGAAGTTGTTTGTATTAGTCAAGAATTATTGTTTTCTGGATGAGTAAGAGTATTGTATTATATATAGTAGAATTTGAAAAAGAGTTTTGTAAATTTAGAATTTGTATTATTGTATATGGTAAGGTTTTTAAGAGATTTAATGAGCTTAATATATTTAAAATTTTATTGATAAGAGTGCTATATGGATTGTAAGTGTGAAGTGAACATTGTGATAGATGTATAATATTTTTGTATTGATTGCAAAATGAGCAATTTGAGGTTAAAAAAAGGAGAGAGTAACGAATATTCAAATTTGCCATTGTGGGTAAGTTATTAAAAAGTATTTTGTTTCTAATAGAGTATAGTTTAGGGTTAGAGTTTTGAGAATTAATAATTTTAGTAAGTAGTTGAATATTTAAAGTAAGAAGATTTTGTAGTAGTTTGAATTAAAGAAGTTTGTTGAAAGTTTGAATAGAGAGTAGGTTTCTGCAAAATTTACATAGTTTATATGTGATTGATATTTTTTTCTAGGTAAAAAAAGTAGGTAGATAGAAGAAGTCAAAATTAAGTTTTAGTTTGGTTTTACTAGCATCTTGTTTAGCTAAAGCATCAATTATATTATGTAGAGTGTTGTTAGAATGTGATTTAACTTTATGAGTAATATAGTTAATATTTTTGAGTTTGGTTAGATAATTTAGAATATGAATGATATCCCAATTATTTTGTTTGGTTTGAGAGTTGTAGTTGTAAGATATTGAGTTTATGAGAGTTTGGATAGTAAATAGACTATTAAGATAAATGTGGATTTGGTAATTAGTAAGTAGGATAAGAAACAAGTGAATAAGTGCTATAAGTTCTGCTTATGTAGAATTGGATGCATGAGGTATAAAGGCATTAAATTTAATTTGTATATCATTTTCAAGAATCTAGACAATGTCAGTAGATATGTTATGTGTTTGTGAATTGAGTATGAAGGCATTGGTATAAAAGTGTAAAATAGTTGAATTGAGGAATAGTATTTTTTGTTGAAGGTTTATAAGTTGATTTTGGTATATAGGATTTGATATTGTGTTTTGTATTAGAATAATTTTTGAAGAGAGTAATAAAAGAGATGATAAAGACTGTAGAGCAGATTTATACAACTCTGCATAAATGTTTTGAAGTGCTTGAATTTCTTGGATATTTCTATTAAGTTCAAAATGTTGTAGTCTTTTTTGAGTTTTGTATTTTAGATTAATAGTTTGTTTGTAATTTATTTGAAATATTGTAGATGTAGAAGAGATATAAA